ACTAAACGCTCCTGTCTCTAGCGAGGGCCTCTTTGGGGTCGCCGTTAAGGAGGCGACGGAACGCTTTGGTAAGCTGGACGAAGAGAGAAAGCACCTGGCTAAACACCTGCCATTGGCAGGCAAGTTTAGCAGGGCCTCAACTAACCCGTCAACCTCCAACGCCCCCAGTAGAACTACAGGGAGGCGACGGGCCAGGCGACAGGCGCCTACCACCGACAGCAGGCGAGCGGGCTCGGCCCCTCCAGCGACGACGGTGGTGGCGACGATTCCGCCGGCGAGAGAGGTCGTCACAAAACCGTCCTGGCAACACCAGAAGGTCAGCCAGAAACGACGGCGTCAATGACGGGACGAGGGGGAGAGGACGGATGACGGCTCGGCGCAAGACGCGACAGAGCCCACTGTTCCCCCCCACCCTACTGTTCAGGGCATGGAGGGAAATGTTTATTGTTGTTATGTGAATAAAGAGCTGGCTCTCACTGACATTGTCACAAAAGGGCCTGTCTTCCATGACACATTGCAGAGTACTTCTCGTCCTATGAATTTCTCTCACCATCCTGAGTGTAGCTCAACCCACCAAGGGTGCGTAGTTGAATACACTCAGGAGAGGAAGGAGAAAAAGGTAGCAAGGCGTAGCCTTAGCTCACCTAATAAAGATATTTTACTACAGACTCCTAGGAGCTCTGTAGTAAAGGTCTCACATAGCAGGCAGCTGTCTCAGTCTGAATATGACATGAAGACGCAGCCGCTAACTGGGACACGCCGGACAAAGTGGCCGCTCTGATGTCAGAGATTACGGAACTTTTGGCGAAGGAGGCGGTCACAGTAGTTCCCCGGGAGCAAAGGAACAAAGGGCTATATTCGCCTTATTTCCTAGTGCCCAAAAAGACGGGGGGAGTGAGGCCGATTTTGGATTTACGCACTCTCAACGAGAGCATAACCAAACGACCCTTCCGAATGCTGACGACAAAACGTCTACTGGAATGTGTCCAGAAAGGAGACTTTTGTACAAGCATAGACCTAAAGGACGCGTACTTCCATGTGCCGATACAATCGCGTCACAGGAAGTTTCTGCGGTTCGCCTTTCAAGGGGTGGCGTACGAGTTCACGAGGATGCCATTCGGGTACGCCCTGGCACCTCGAACGTTTTCCAAATGTGTGGAGGTGGCATTGGAGCCGCTGCGTCGTCAAGGGATAAGGCTATTAGCCTACCTAGACGACCTGCTGGTTCTCGCCCCGTCAGCAGAGCTGGCGTTCACTCACACAGCACAGACAGTGATTCATCTCACGCGTCTGGGGTTCGTTGTGAATTGGAAAAAGAGCGCACCCTGGCCCAGTCATCAGATTGTCTACCTGGGGCTACAGCTAGACACTGTAATGATGAGGGCTCGAATTTCGGACCCTCGAAGGGTAGCATTGTTGCTAGCCCTGAGGAAGTGTCGTCCGAATCACACTGTGACGGCGCTGTCGATCATGTCACTTTTGGGTCTCATGTCGTCAGCCCACTCAGTGGTCCCGCTGGGACTTCTGCACATGCGCAGAATACAGCGATGGTTCGCCCAACTAAGACTAGACCCAGTGCGTCAACGTCATCGGTTGGTGGTGGTTCCTCTCTCGCTAAGAGCAGACCTGGACTATTGGAGGAATCCGAGCGTTCTCACGCACGGAGTCCCGATGGGCAAGGTGTCATCCTACATTCCAGTATTTACAGATGCTTCTCTGACTGGATGGGGAGGGACATGTCAGACTCAAGCGATAGGAGGTGTATGGCCTCAATCAGGTCGTCACATAAACCTCTTGGAGTTGGAAACGGTTCGACTGGTTCTGACCCACTTCGCGCCTACCCTTCGGGGTCGCGATGTGCTGGTCTGGTCAGACAACCGGACCACAGTAGCTCACATAAATCGCCAGGGAGGGGTCAGGTCACCTGCCCTCCACCGGGCGGCAGAGGAATTGTGGCTGTGGGCTCACAAGCACCTTCGCTCGTTGAGAGCAGCACACATTCCGGGCTACTTGAACGTAGGAGCAGACCTCATGTCAAGAGGGGGTCCTCGAGACGACGAGTGGTGTCTGCATCCGGACATTGTTCTCCGAATTTGGGGAACAGTTCGGGAGAGCCGAGGTGGATCTGTTCGCGTCACGCGTGAACGTGCAATGTCCCCTATGGTTCTCTCTGAGGGAACAGGACGAGCCACCACTGGGAAGAGACGCATTCGCGCACTACCCGTGGCCGAAAGTTCTCCTGTATGCATTCCCTCCGCTGTCTTGCATTCTCCCACTGCTAGCCAGGGTGAGGTCAGAGGGGCTGTCAGTGATACTGGTTTGCGGAGATGAGTCAGATGTTGATTGCGCCACCTTGGCCAATTCCACATCGACGGGACGCGTTGACCCAAGCGGGAGGCTCGATAGGGCAGTGGCCCATAATCGGCCAACCACTGAAGGCTTGGTTCCTGAATGGGACAGGTTGAGGCGCCGTGGGTTATCTGATGCAGTGTTCAGAACCATACAAGGTGCACGAGCCGGTTCCACTTCTAGGATGTATACCAGCAGATGGAACGTTTTTTCACGATGGTGTGACACACAAGGTGTGGACCCCATGAACTGTCAGGTTGAGAGTGTGCTCTCTTTTCTGCAGTTTATGTTTGATAAGCAGAAATCGCCCTCCACCATTAGAGTGTTTGCAGCGGCAATTACAGCTGGTCATGAGGGGTTTGGCGGAACGAACGTGTTCAGCCACCCTTTAGTGAAACGTTTCTTATTGGGAACGCGGCGGCATAGGCCAATGCCTAGAGCCACGCTGCCCCAGTGGGATTTGGCCTTGGTACTCGAAGCGCTATGTAAGTCGCCGTTCGAGCCATTGAATCAAATACCCCTCAAGATGCTGTCTATCAAGACGGCACTGTTGCTCGCCTTGACTACCGCTAAGCGTGTCAGTGATTTGTGTGCCCTGTCGACGAGACCCGACTGCCTTGCCATTAATGGCGATCTGAGCAGAGCGGTGTTACGTCCTAACCCGGCGTTTGTGCCGAAGGTTATTAGCAGTGCATATAGATCACAGACCGTGGAGTTGTGGGCTTTTTCTCCCCCTCCTCATGGGGAGAGGAGTGAGGAAAAGCTTAATTGTCTGTGCCCAGTGCGCGCTTTGGCGTGTTACGTTGAGCGCACAGCAGCGATTAGGTCATCGCCTCAGCTGTTTGTGTGTCACGGTGCGGCTGCATTAGGTAGACCACTTTCAAAACAGCGATTGTCTCATTGGCTTTGTGAAGGTATTGAGACAGCTTACGAGGCAGCGGGGCGACAACTGCCTCAGGGTATCAGAGCTCACTCCACTCGTGGAGTAGCAGCTTCTACTGCCCTCTTCAGAGGAACAGGGGTAGAGGATATTTGTAGAGCAGCGTCATGGTCGACACAGTCTCCATTTATCCGTTTCTATCTATTAGATATGTCTTCTAACTCTTTGGCTCGATCTGTACTCAGCGTGGCTGAAGGGAGATCTTGAGCAAGAAAGAGAGGGAAAAAGCAGGACTGTGGACATGGGTGTCCATCAGGTCCGCTTTGGTTAGGAAGACATATTCTGTTTCTATCTATTAGATATGCCTTCTAACTCTTTGGCTCGATCTGTACTCAGCGTGGCTGAAAGGAGATCTTGAGCAAGAAAGTGAGGAAAAAAGCAGGACTGTGGACAGGGGTGTTCATCAGGTCCGCTTTGGTTAGGAAGACATATTCTGGACAGATATGTTTTCTAACTCTTTGGCTCGGTCTGTACTCAGCAAAGCTGAAAGGAGATTTTGAGCCAGGAAGAGAGGATAAAGCAGGACTATGGGCAAGTTCCCATCAGGTCCGCTTTGGTTAGGAAAACATGTTTTTTGATAGATAGGCTTTCTATCTCTCTGGCTCGATTGTACTCAGCATAGCTGAAGGGGAATCTTGAGCTAGAAGAGAGAAAAGCAGGACGATGGACACAGGTTTCTATCAGGTCCGCTTTGGATGGAAAGCATATCTTGTGGCATGTCTCTTGACTGACAGGGTCAGTATAGTAGAGACATGTATTGAATTGACAGAATGTGAGGTCATCTATCTGATTGTTCAGTTTAGTATGACTTATATTTTGTTCCTGCCTACTAATCTCTGGGATTCCATTGAGTGAGTGAGGTGGTCTACTGTGCACATAATGTAGAGTGACACTTCCATTAGTGGTCGGTAGTGTTTTCACAGGATATTGAGGCACATCTATCTGCTAGTACAGATTAGTGTAGCTTATATTCTGGTGATCTGCCCACTAGTCATTGGCATTGCCATTGAACTAGGTGGGGCAGGGTCTTTAACCGATGACGCGGTATATTGTGACACCCGGAGGGGTTTTTAGTTGCAGTACTGCGGGAATTGGTTGCGGCCATTGCTAGGCTTGACCTTTTCATTTTTTAATGGGAAGTGTTAGGCTCGGCAGGGAGTACATTTTGGAGCGCTACACTCAGCCTTAAACCACTAGGAGCAGAGCTCCCCTATGGGGTGGAGCTCCACGATATAGAACGATTAGTTACCGGAGTGTAACTCCAGTTCTATGAGTGGAGCGGAGCCCCATAGGACTTAAGGCCCTGCCGACCCTCTCTAGTCTCGCTGAAGATAATATCTCGGGAGGCTGATTGAGGGGAAGCGTCCCCTCTTATAGGGACACCTGTGCTCCCATTGGCTGCAGGTGTGTGCATAAATTTGCTTCAGGCTGTTGCTGCCTTAGGGCAGAAGGTAAACCACTAGGAGCAGAGCTCCCCTATGGGGCTCCGCTCCACTCATAGAACTGGAGTTACACTCTGGTAACTAATCGTTTTACTACTGTTTAAGAGCAGTTGGAGGCTACTGAAGGAGTGTTGTATGGCATTGAAGCTCGTTTGGAGGTTTGTTAACACAGTGTCCAATGAAGGGCCAGATGTATACAAAAAGTGGGGATCGGTGTGCTCTGCTGGACAAAATATGGGTAACCCTGGCTCTCTTGTTCCACTGCAGAAGCTGTCAATGAAGTGTGCCCAGTGGAGGAGCAGGTGGTGGAGTGTGCCAACACGTCTATCTACAGATGTCCCTCCAACCTAACTGTCACTGAAGAGAGTGAACCCATCTCAGAAACTGACATCAGGTGAGAGAAACAGACTGTTGTGTGTTTGACACAGGAAGTTGTCAAAAGCATTTTACAATATCAATGTTCTGCCACTGATTCCACATTTTGATTGTCTGCTTGTGTTTGTGAACAACTGTGGGTGTGCATTTGTGGGCTTACAATTGTGTGTTTCTCTGCAGGATGTCAGAACCAGAGCTCCCAGTCCAAAGAAGCGCCACCAGCCCCAGCCGGATCATTTGTGGATCAGTGTCCATGGCTGGACTGCTGGCTAAGGTCATGCAGGTTGCTGGTGTCCAGAGGGCTCAGACCCGGGTGGACCGCCGCCACCTCACACGGAGCTGCATCCAGCGGCAGAACAGTGTCCGCCTGAGAGCTCAGCGTCACTCCTCCCGCACACGCACAACCTACCTCCAACAGCCAGGCCACCGCAACTTCAGCCACTGAACACCCAGCAGCAGGGAGCAGTTTTAACACAAGAACAACAGGAACCTTCAATCTGCTCACACCACACACACAAATGTTTAGACACACTCACAAATGCAACATAAATTGATTGGCAGCATGCTTCAGCATAGTGAAATAAAGTCATAACTCAAACAAATTTTGCATAGTTCACTCGTATAGATTAAGCTATTCCCGAAATTAATCCTATCTACCCCATTTGATTCAAAACACTAAACTTGGTACTCAGAATTGTAACCTGTTCACTGGCAGCTAAAATTACTTTTGAACCTGCACTATATATGACGAGAGATGGTAAACCCCATATCAAATGAGATATGCTTGTAGGCTTGATAGTGTATGGCCAGAGAAAAACACTGTCAGTAGCTAGGTTTCCATCCAATTGGCGACAGATGTTCATGCGAATATTCTAAAATCCACATAAAAACAATATGCGCATTTTCTCACCAGAGATGTTTCCATCAAATTGACTTGTTGCAGATAAGTCTGTGCGTGATGACGTAGTGCACATAAAAATACCTTTTGTAGTTCAATTTCCATGTACCGAATAAAAAATACAAGTTAAATGGGTTTCCATCGCATTTTCAACTCTACTGATGGTTTCATCACCAAAAATATTGCGATATATCCACAGGGCGCAGATTGCGGGCTGTTGGCTAGAGCGCATGTATAGTTTACATGAGTTTATTATGATCGAGATTGTTTTTATTTTTCAAACGGCAGACAAGCATTGATCATTAGGTCACCAGAATAAAACCCTCGATATTTATTGGAAAGGAGCATCAAGCTCATCACCTTGCACTTTCACCACCCTGTGAAGTTCATCATAATTTATCTGTAGATTAATAACTGCAAACTTTCCCGACGAGTCGTAGTGGGTGGACCACACAACATATGACTCACGTGATATTATGGTTAGGCTATTATATCAATATTTAAGCATAAAAGTGTTTCCACCAACATTTCTTGCATACTTAATTTTACCGACACAAAAAGGTCCCATCTTGTCTAGCGTATTTGGTTAAGTCAACATTTGGAAAGTTTACCTAAAAATGTTCTGTTTACGTCATGACATTTTTTATCCGTCAAACACTTTACTCACATGAAAAGGTTGGATGGAAACCTGGTTAGTGGCATGCACGTTTCTGTGCGAAGCCTATGCAAAGAAATATCAAAAACATATGTTGAGGGAAATGAAAATATATTGTATCATTACATGTACAGTATGTACTATGTATTTTGTCAGATTGTCATGTGTGGGTTAAAAACATTTCATATAGCAATATAAAAGGGATGACCTACCTACATGATTGCACCATTGTTCCTTTTTTCGATTATAGTGCCAAAGCTGAGTTAGAAATGCATGATAAGGGATATTTGGTGACCAAAGGGCATTACTAATGTTATCCGAAACAGTGTGAAAGAAGGTTATAAAAAGTAACAATGACTAAAGTCCAGAGCTTGGTTGTATCTTGCTGAATGATCAGGGCTCCAGTTTGGATTCTGCCATTGTTGCTGCCCTGTGCCTGGGCATAGTCCATCCACACGCCTCAGGTATTGGCGGTTAAGTGTCTATTGCATTTGAGAAAGGACTTAACAATGACAACAATAGCAAGTGAACTATCTATGTAGACAGTGTCCTTTGCCCCTGCCTGCCTGCTTTCCCGAGGTTCTGTTAACATTACGGCGAGAGCTAGGTGCTTGGCAGGTGGGGGCGAAGGACACTGTGTACTAGCCTCCGGTAACGTTACACATGCGGGAGGCAGGGGCGATACCGGCAGCTAGCTATGACAACAGTAGACAGTATCCTTCGCCCCCGCCTGCCGACCACTGCTTTCCTGCAGTTCTGTTAACGTTACGGCGAGGGTGTTTGTGTCTATTTATTTATTACATCACTTCCTCACGGCTTTGATAAAAAGAGGGGTGGGGTGGCTGGTATATGTGTTACATCTGCTATCCAGCGCATCAACAGATTCCACATACATTTTAAGCTAAAATAATGCACATTAATTATACTACAATGATGACACAGCCTAAACAAAAAACTCTAATACTTTTATACCCCTTTTGACCCACAATTTAATCGCGGAAATCCAAAATATCAAAAGTGTCACTTAAACACAAGCCACATGCAGGAACCAATGGGATGCTCGAGGTGGGGGTGGGGGCATTCCTGCAATATCAAAAGTGTCACTTAAACACAAGCAGGAATGCCTACATGCAGAAACGCCCTGAATTGCTGGCCACAATCACACACTATTGTCTAGGTGCTGCTCTGATCTCAGCCCTCAACATTTTGGAGGACTTCCAACTCGTTGGGAATAGCACAACGTATAGCGCCAACCATTGATTGCTGAGGTACTGTATCTCAAGCTCTGAAGTGAGACCCATGTACAGTATATAGTTTACAGCGTACAGCAAAGGTTCCCCTAATAAAAGTGGGTAACACTTTATTTGGATAGTCTATCTATAGATGCTCTATAAACTATTAGTAACATTTAGTCCCCTGTAGCTCAGTTGGTAGAGCATGGCGCTTGCAACACCAGGGTTGTGGGTTTGTTTCCCACGGGGGGCCAGTATGAAAATGTATGCACTCATTAACTGTACGTCGCTCTGGATAAGAGCGTCTGCTAAATATGTAACATTTAAAATTTAAACTAACTAACTATCTACTAACCCTAACCTTTATCCTAGCCCTGACCTTAACCCTATCCCTTATTCTAACCCTAACCGTAACAAGCAGTTGCTTATCAACAGATACTTTGTTGATAGTATGACCATCTGTAGAGCATCTACAGATGGACTGTCCGGACTATCCAAATTCATTTTAAAGTCACTGAAAGCAGCCCTAAGTATGGCCAGTCTCTGAGCTCATCTCCAAGATGCTAAGGTAAACTTTAACAAGCGTGCATTCACTTCCTCACTATGTTCTAAGTAGATTAGCCATGCAATTGAAGTCCTTGTGAAATGCAATGTCATGAATATCTGTGAACAATTGATGTGTATGTTTTGTATCTGTGTTTCTGTTAAAACAAGCCACAGGCTGCAGTTCTCCTTCAGTTCATCAGTGACTCGCAGGTTTCTCCTCCCAGACACTACTCTACTGTCTATCCCTGCAGAGTGGAGCTGTGGCAGCCAGGTGGTGGTCATGGGTCCCGATGACCTCTTCGTGTCTGTCACCAGTTGCTGTGATAAGAGCCTACCTGAAGGAGATAACAGTCACTGTCTGCACGTGTACATTAGCATGATACATATGGAGTGGGAATAGCTTAAGACAAGTCTTACACTTGTTATTTTCTGATGTTTCAGCTCACTGAACAGGCCCTTTGGAAGTAGAATTTTAACCCCTTCAGGCATTAGTATGAACTGCCAGATCCTGGACTTCTCCTGGCCAAATAAAACCCAGGGACTGCTAAGATCCAACCTGGTAACAACATACCACAGTACATCCCAAACATTTTACCTTTAGGCTGTATAATGTATTAACATAACATTATACTCTTTCAATCTGAGCCCCAGCTAGAGAACAGGCCGTTTCGTAGCCGGCCGCGACCGGGAGACCCATGGGGCGGCGCACAATTGGCCCAGCGTCGTCCAGGGTAGGGAGGGAATGGCCGGCAGGGATGTAGCTCAATTGGCAGAGCATGGCGTTTGCAACGCCAGGGTTGTGGGTTTGATTCCCACGGGGGGCCAGTATGAAAAAATAAATAAATAAATAATGTATGCACTCACTAACTGTAAGTCGCTCTGGATAAGAGTGTCTGCTAAATGACACAAATGTAAATGTAAATGTAGAGAAACAACCATTTTGTAGAAATATCCTATATCAACATTTTTGTTTGCTTGGCAGAGGAACAAGGTCCAGCCAGGCAAGTGGCCTCTATCATTTATTATGCCCACAATTGTGATACCGTCTCTAGGTAAATGTGGCTCCTATGTGGCCCTGGGATCTTCTAATGGAGAGCACAGCCTCAGTGGTATCACCCAGGTCTGACAAACGTTTTTTAAAACCCATACAATCTTTACATTTTCATGCCTGTTGTTGTCTAGAAGCTAATTTCCTTGTAATTTCATTACCTTTCATTATGTGCTTTTTGTGTCATGTATTGATTAATGTTTTATCATTCCACAAAAAACTGAATGATAGCATATCCCTAGGACGACTCCATCCCCAGCATCAGCCGAGCAGCCTCCTGGTGGACTGTGAGCATTTCTGATGTTTTTCTTTATCTGCACCTCATTGTGGGTGGGAAATCAGCTTTGAAATGGTTTGAAACCTCAACTCACTTTTTCTTATTCCCATCTTCCCAACTGTCTCCCCTCAGCTGAGTTCCTGGAGGAGGATGTGAAGGTGTTGAAAGGACACCCTGTCCACAGGATGGGGCTGCTGTCCCTGGTGCAGGATGCCCAGAGGACCAACGACATCATTAGGGGCATTGTTGACCCTCGTGCTGTGGATGGCTCTGCCTAGAGTTCTGAAAATATGGCTTTATTTCAATGTGAACATAAGAAGATTAAGTCATATCTGAGTTGTATGTATCTTAAATAATTAATGTATTAAAATTGTAGATTTTCCTAGTGTGATGATAGTGTACACCAAACATTAAAGCAGATCTAATGGAAAGGTGGTAGACATGAATGTCATCTCAGATCATGTGTATGAAGATGTGAGTAGCCTATACACATTAGTCTAGATCACAATAGTATTGGTTGTCCAATAGGGGACACTACTCGCTTTTGCAGAACTAGATAGTTTGGCCTAATGTTCGATACAGGTTGGAGGCAAATACATTATCTCTCAATCTCTGTACAAATCTGACATTTGTTGTCATTGCTGTTTAGTCTGGGTAAAGATAAGACATATAGCCACCAGCTATATATCCAGGAATGCACTGCACTTCGCATGTTTCAATGTTGAATATCAGAGACTCACAAATAAGTCACTCAAACCTGCTCCTATTGATGAAGAATGCAGCATGGGATGGTTTGAAATGGCAAATATCCAGATAATAAATGAAAAATGTAACTTGATCTTATTCAAGGTGTCAGTTTCAACCCTTATTTTAGAGGCATCTGTCTCTGTTTTCATTGCTACTTTCAGCTCTTTAGCTTGTTCATCAGCAGCCCCTACTCACAACTTCCTACAACACATACTCTCCTCGAGTAGAGAATGTGCCAAAGGGCTGAAGCCAAACTGGCATAGGAAAGTTGACAAGTCACTATACACCGCCAGTGCCAAAGACAAAACCGTATCAGAAAGGTTTGAGAACAGAATTTTATGCCACTTTTTGTTATTATTGAGAACCATATAAACATTTAAAACCATAATGATGACAGATGACTACCACAGATGGCTAAGCACATTACTAACCACAGATGACTAAGAACAGGGCCCATATCCACAAAGCGTCTCAGAGTAGGAGTGCTGACCTAGGATCTGTCCATACAAGCTTATTCATTATGACCTAAACATTTAAAAACTGATGCTAGATCAGCACTCCTACTCTGAGACGCTTTGTGGATACTTCACGTGAGAAATTATAGTGTACATATTCCTGGGTAATGGACAATGTCACTGCTCAAGCCCCTGGCCAGGTTATTACATTTACATTTACATTTAAGTCATTTAGCAGACGCTCTTATCCAGAGCGACTTATATGACCAGGTTATGTGTTTTTGTTTTTAACAATAGGCCTAGAGCCTACTTTTTTATATATATATTTTTAAGACATGCATAGCTGATATTCCCTCTTTCATGGGGAGGGGAATATTATTGTATCCTATATCATAAGAGTGATACCCCAGATTAAAGTTGAAATACACCTCAGATAAGAGGCAGCAGCCAAGGCTACTCTGTTTTGATAAATGATTTGCGACACCGTGACAACATGCAATTTGTTTTGACTGCTACAATAAATACTTGCGTAGTAACCACTATTATGTAGCTATACCCTAATCATAATTGTCCCCCACGATGAAATCGGGGAGGGGACTGTGGATCGGTCTCCGTCCGTACGTTCGTCACACGCGATATCTCGAGACAGCACTAGCCGGATGTTGGCCAAATTTGGGTGAGTAGGCAGGTTTCCATTGTGTCATTGTCCCAGGTTTATTCTGCAAAAGCAATGTCGCAACATGTTACAGCCTTATTCTAAAATGGATTAAAAATAATAATAATCTCATCAATCTACACACAATACCCCATAATGACAAAGCAAAAACAGGTTTTTCGAAATTTCTGCACATGTATTAAAAATAGAAACGGAAATATTACATTTACATAAGCATTCTGACCATTTACTCAGTACTTTGTTGAAGCACCTTTGGCAGTGAATAAAGCCTCAAGTCTTCTTGGGTATGACGCTACAAGCTTGGCACACCTGGATTTGGGGAGTTTCTCCCATTCTTCTCTGCAGATCCTCTCAAGCTCTGTCAGGTTGGATGGGGAGTGTCGCTGCACAGCTATTTTCAGGTCTCTCCAGAGATGTTCGATGAGGTTCAAGTCCGGGCTCTGGCTGGGCCACTCAAGGACATTGTCTTGGCTGTGTGCTTAGGGTCGTTTTCCTGTTGGAAGGTGAAACATTCGCCCCAATCTGAGGTCCTGAGCAATTTGGAGCAGGTTTTCATCAAGGATATCTCTGTCCTTTGCTCCGTTCATCTTTCCCTCAATCCTGACTAGTCTCCCAGTCCCTGCCGCTGAACATCTCCACAGCATGATGCTGCCACCACCATGCTTCACCGTAGGGATGGTGCCAAATTTCCTCCAGACGTGACGCTTGGCATTCAGGCCAAAGAGTTCAATCTTGGTTTCATCAGACCAGAGAATTTTGTTTCTCATGGTCTGAGAGTCCTTTAGCTGCCTTTTGGCAAACTCCAAGCATGTGCCTTTTACTGAGGAGTGGCTTCCGTCTGGCCACTACCATAAAGGCTTGATTGGTGGGGTGCTGCAGAGATGGTTGCCCTTCTGGAAGGTTCTCCCATCTCCACAGAGGGACTCTGGAGCTCTGTCAGAGAGACCATCAGGTTCTTGGTCACCTCCCTGACCAAGGCCCTTCTCCCCCGATTGCTCAGTTTGGCCGGGCGGTCAGGTCTAGGAAGAGTCTTGGTGGTTCCAAACTTCTTCCATTTAAGAATGATGGAGGCTACTGTGTTCTTGGGGACCTTCAAAGCTGCAGAAATTATTTGGTACCCTTCCCCAGATCTGTGCCTCGACACAATCCTGTCTTGTCATTATGGGGTATTGTGTATAGATTGATTAGGAAAAAATGTAATTTAATCCATTTTAGAATAAGGCTGTAACGTAACAAAATGTGGAAAAAGTCAAGTATAATTTCCGAATGCACTGTATAGTGTGGTTAGACTGTGCGGGTGGGCTAGTCTACATGGTGAGATTATTATAGATAATTTGTATTTGTCAAACGGCAGTCAAGCGTCAATCATCATGTCACCAGAATAAGACCCTAGATATTTATTGGAAAAGAGCATCAAGATCACAGTGCACTTTCACCACAACTTATTTCATCGGTAGCCTAATAAACTGCATGGTTTCCCGAGTCATAGTGGGAGGACCACACACCATATCATCGCGTGACTCCAAGTTTAGTTCGATATGATGGCTAATGTATCATTATTTACGCATAAAGGCGTTTCCACCGCCATTTCTCGCATAATTAATTTTTCAGGATCCCACCATGTCGAACAAACACATTATCTGTCGGCATTTATAAAATTGTAGCGAAACTTCCTGTTTCTATCACAGCTGTCATGATTTTTTTGATATGGTATGACTTTACTAGCATAAAAACTGTGGATGGATATGTGGTTACTCAACAACAACAAAAATCACTGGACAAGAACATGAAAACATAGCTAATGATGCGTCTTGCCATAGAGATCCGGCATTTACAAAATTATACTGATTGGCCCAAGGGGGAGCTATAGTAATTAACAAGCCACCAGGGTCTGACAACCTGGATGAAAAATTACTGAGGATAATAGCGGAAGATATTGCCACTCCTATTTGCCATCTTTTCAATTTAAGCCTACTAGGAAGTGTGTGCCCTCAGGCCTGGAGGGAAGCAAAAGTCATTCCGCTACCCAAGAATAGTAAAGCCACCTTTACTGGCTCAAATAGCCGACCAATCAGCCTGTTACCAACCCTTAGTAAAATTTAGGAAAAAATTGTGTTTGACCAGATACGATACTATTTTACTGTAAACAAACTGACAACAGACTTTCAGCACGCTTAAAGGGAAGGACATTCACAAGCACAGCACTTACACAAATGACTGATGATTGGCTGAGAGAAATTGACGATAAAAATATTGTGGGGGCTGTTTTGTTCGACTTCAGTGCTGCTTTTGACATTATCGATCATAGTCTGCTGCTGAAAAAACGTATCTTATGGCTTTACACCCCCTGCTATATTGTGGATAAAGAGTTACCTGTCTAACAGAACAGAGGGTGTTCTTTAATGGAAGCTTTTCCAACATAATCCAGATAGAATCAGGAATTCCCTAGGGCAGCTGTTCAGGCCCCTTACTTTTTTCAATCTTTACTAATGACTTGAATAAAGCCAGTGTGTCTATGTACAGTATGTGGATGACTCAACACTATACACGTCAGCTACTACAGCGACTGAAATGACTGCAACACGTAACAAAGAGCTGCAGTTAGTTTCAGAATGGGTGGCAAGGACTAAATTAGTCCTAAATATTTAAAAAATGAAAAGCATTGTATTTGGGACAAATCATTCACTAAACCCTAAACCTCAGCTAAATCTTGTAATGAATAATGTGGAAATTGAGCAAGTTGAGGTGACTAAACTGCTTGGAGTAAGCCTGGATTGTAAACTGTCACGGTCAAAACATATTGATACAACAGGAGCTAAGATGGGGAGAAGTCTGTCCATAATAAATTGCTGCTCTGCCTTCTTAACAACACTATCAACAAGGCAGGTCCTACAGGCCCTAGTTTTGTCTCACCTGGACTACTGTTCAGTAGTGTGGTCAGGTGCCACAAAAGATGGACTTAGGAAAATTACAATTGGCTTAGAACAAAAAGTACACGGGGAGCTAACATTAATGAGCATTAACATTAATAATATGCATGTCAATCTCTCATGGCTCAAAGTGGAAGAGAGATTGACTTCATCACTACTTGTTTTTGTAAGAAGTATTGACAAGCTGAATGTACCAAGCTGTCTGTTTAAACTACTAGCACACAGCTGGGACACCCATGCATACCCCACAAGACATGCCATCAGAGGTCTCTTCACAATCCCCAAGTCCAGAACAGACTATGGGAGGCGCACAGTACTACATAGAGCCATGTCTACAGGTAACTGATGCAAGCAGTAGAATTAGATTTTTTTTAAAAACAGGTAAAAATACACCTTATGGAACAGCGGGGACTGTGAAGAGACACACACAAAAGGTACAGACACACGCATATGCACACAAGCCCTAGCACACGCACTCTACACACGTACATTGTAATATTATTGTATGGTGGTATTATACATTTTGTATTGTAGATATGTAGTGGTGTAATAATGTTATATGATGTACTGTTTTATATTTTGTTTTATATGTAATGTAAGTGCCTTAATGTGTTTGGACCCAAGGAAGAAGGCAGCAGCCTAATGGGGATCCCTAATAAATACAAATACAAACTCAAATGTGTTAGTCACATGCGATATCTCAATTGGGCAGAGGGGGGGCGCTGCATCATTCATGGTGGACGACATGTTTACTGTTGACTTTCTCTGAAACAATTCTCTTCAAAAACAATCACAATCTTCATTCTCACGTGTCACTGTCAGAGAGGAGAGGACAGTTTAAATGGGCGTATTCGGTCACAGAACTAGTCAGTTAGGCTATCTACGCTGGAATACTTCCTTATTCCGAGCTACAGTCGCCGAGGATTCAGTTTTACCTTACAGTCATCTGAAGAATGTATAATACTTTGGAATAACTGCTCTTCAGATACTTGGATAAACGGTCAGTAAGATTGACTCAATTTAAATGGAGTAATTTCGTATGCAACTAACGTTACTGTAGGCTACTCGATATTGGTTTACACTAGACTGTCGTCTGTGGACAGTGTAATAAAATAAAATTGTTAGAGACATTGTTGCCAGTTGCTGTGTGATTTTGGTTCCAGATCAAAATCAAATAAAATAAAATGTTTTTGTCACAAGCGCCGAATACAACGGGTGTAGACTTTACCGTGAAATTCTTGCTTACGAGCCCTTCCAAACGATGCAGAGTTAAAAGATAATAATACAAAATTAAATAGTAACACGAGGAATAAAGCTATATACAGGGAGGACCAGTACCAGATCAATGTGCAGGGGTACGAGGTATTTTAGGTAGATATGTACATAAATGCAGGGTAAAGTGACCAGGCATCAGGATATATAACAATACGAATAAAGAACAGAGTAGTAGCAGCAGCAGCCTATGAGTGTGAAAGTGTGTGTGTATGTGAATGTGTGAGAGTCAGTGTAGTCTGTATATTGTGTGTATATCTAGTCCTGTGAGTGTACATAGAGTCAGTGCAAGATAGGGTCAATGCAGATAGTCGGGGTAAACATTGAATTAACTATTTAGCAGTCTTATGGCTTGGGGGTAGAAGCTGTCTCGGAGCTTGCCTATACATCAGACGCTTACCATGGCTACTCCGTGGATTTTCAGTCTGACCGAAGTCGCCCTAAAAAAATACTTACTTTACTGGTTATACATGCCGTTGGTCCTTTTGGCGGTAGGAGGTGGAGATAGGTTATCCACAGGAAAGTGTTGTTTACTTGACTTTTTGCGGCGCCAGTAGGTTCTGTCGCTTGTATTTTAAATCTCTTGACTCATTGCACGATATGTAAACAGTAACCCAACGTAGTCCACCGAAGCACGTTTCCTCGCAATCAGCTGGAAGTGTTTGCGGTTCAGTCGGTGGTTCGGTTAGGCTCAGCCATATTGTGGAAGTGTTTGTCACGTGCGAATTGCATCTGTATTGAAAATAAAAACCGTAAATACAAACCGAAATACAGCCCAGTGTACTGAAGGTCGGGTTGATAACACTTCCCTATGGATATTTTCTATCAGATTACCTCTGACATAGGGACAAAATCAGAGGACAACAGGTAAAGTAAATTGAAATGAAGTTTGTTCAACATTCTGACTTGTAATGGGACTGTTCAGGAATGCTGAGCCTACATTTTAGAGACAAGTGTGTAAGTATTTCACTCTCGGATTCTAAAAGAGGCTATCTCGGAGCCTGTTGGTCTGGTACCGTTTGCCACACGGTAGCAGAGTGAACAGTCTATGGCTTGGGTTGCTGAAGTCTTTGGTAATTTCTCTGGCCTTCCTCTGACACCACCTGATATAGAGGTCCTGGATGGCAGGGAGCTCGGCCCAGTGATGTACTGGGCTGTCCGCACCACCCTCTGTAGCGCTTTGCTGTCGATGGCGGTGCATTTGCCATACCAAGCTATGATGCAGGCAGTCAAGATGCTTTTGATGGATCAGAGGGCCCATGCCAAATCTTTTTAGCCTCCTGAAGTGGAAGAAGCGCTGTCGTGCCCTCTTCACGACTGTTCGGTTGTGTGTGGACCATGCTAAGTCCTTAGTGATATGGACGCCAAGGAACTTGAAGCTCTCAACTCGCTCCACTACAGCCCCATGGATGTGGATGGGGCGTGCTCTCCCCCCTTTCTCCTGCAGTCCACGATCAGCTCCTTTGTCTAACTGGCTTTGAGAGGTTGTTGTCCTGGCACCATACTGCCAAGTCTCTGACATCCTCCCTGTAGGCTGTCTCTTCGCCGTCGGTGGTCAGGCCTACCACCGTCGTGTCGTCAGCAAAATTATTCAAATTCATTGTTTTACACTATCTAATCCAGGGGTGTCAAACTCATTTTAGCTCAGGGGCCACATGGAGGAAAATCTATTCCCAAGTGGGCCGGACCGGAAAAATCATGGTGTATATATATAACTTAAAAACAACAACTTCAGATTGTTTTCTTTGTTTTAATACGATCAACATACAACATAAAGCTGGAGCCTGAGGACAGTGTGTCCAAAATAGTACAAGCACAACATCACTATTAATCATAAAACACGTCAAGTTTATTTGAAAATTCTAAAGAAAAATAACACACAAACACACAATGCCTCAGTGATTAACAGAACTGTTTCACAGATCACAGAACTATATCAGGGGGTCATTTCTCAGGCAGAAATGTAGATAAAAATAATGAAATCCTGTTCCCCAAACAAGTGCATGAACCACAGAGTCAAGAATAGGTTAAATATACAAATAAAATAAAATCAATTAAAAACAATAGCACATCAACATAAAAACATATAAACATAAAGCTGGAGCCTGAGGACAGTGTCCAAAAGCACAACATCACTATTAATCATAAAACACCTCAAGTTATTTGAAAGTTCTGAGGACAAAGAACACACAAACACACAATGCCTCAGTGATTCACAGAAGTATATCACAGATCACAGAACTATATCAGGGTGTCATTTCTCAGGCAGAAATGTAGATAAAAATAATGAAATCCTGTTCCCCAAACAAGTGCAAGAACCACAGAGTCAAGAATAGGTTAAATATACAAATAAAATAAAATCTATTAAAAACAATAGCACATCAACATAAAAACATATAAACATAAATCTGAAAGCGTTGCTCAAACTCCCGTAACAGTCCCGTTATTTTATCTTTGAACCGCTTCATGTCTGCCACATGTTGGGTCGCGCACACATTTTTCAGACAGGGGAAGTGAGCTGCATCACCACGGGCAAGTTGCGTCTCCCACAATGACAGCTTCAACTTGAAAGAACGTATGCTGTCATAATACTGCGTGACAACTTTGTTGCGCCCTTGCAGCTGTTTGTTCAAGTTATTCAGGTGCTCTGCACCATCTGTAGCCTGGCTGACAGCGCGGGACCAGTCCACTCCGACCCTGTCCAGCGCGCCGACGAGTGCGGTAAAAATATCAGCTGCTGTCGTTGTATCTGTCATCGGCACCAACTCCACGAACTCCTCGGTGACGGTCAATGTGTCATCAACTCCGCGGATGAAAATGGCCAGTTGTGCAACATCTGTAATGTCCGTGCTTTCATCAATTGCAACCGGAAACGCAATAAATGACTTTACTTTTTGCTTCAACTGGCTGTCCAAATCCACTGAAAGATCGGAAATCCTGTCTGCAACTGTGTTTCTTGTCAGGCTGATATTTGCAAAAGCTTTTCAGGGCACACAATCTCCGCTGCCTTCATCATGCATGTTTTTACGAATTCACCCTCACTAAATGGTTTTGAAGCCACTGCGATTTCATTAGCAATGAGGTGGTCCTCTGTAGCTCAGCTGGTAGAGCACGGCGCTTGTAACGCCAAGGTAGTGGGTTCGATCCCCGGGACCACCCATACACAAAAATGTATGCACGCATGACTGTAAGTCGCTTTGGATAAAAGCGTCTGCTAAATGGCATATTATTATTATTATTATTATTAGGTAGCTAGCTTTCACTGCAGCGTCACTGATGTCTCGGCTGTGAGTAAACACAGACTGCTGTTTCTTCAGACCCGCCAACAGTTCATTCACCTTCTCTCATCTCCGCTGTCCTTGAAAGTTGTCATATTTGTCGGCATGAAGACTCACATAGTGGCGACGAAGGTTATATTCTTTCAGCACTGCAACATGCTCTGAACACACCAAACATACAGCTTTCCCATTCAATTCCATGAATAAATAGGATGACCATTTTTCTTGGAACACTCTGCACTCTGCGTCCACTTTTCTCTTTTTTGACAGAGACATATTGGGGCAATGAGGGTACCAAAGCACATAATGTTAAAAGTAGAAGCCGTAATAAATATCTCGGGCAAAACAAAGTCGCTCATTGGCTGCACGTGCTTGACCTACTTGCTCTGCCCCGGTATAAACAGTTTGCTTGCTTAACACAATTGCTATTGCGCCATCCAGTGGACGCAATTGGAACAGCAGTTTATTTTATTGAAAAATTGCAGCGCATTTTTATACTTTACAATATATATATATATATTTTTTTTTTTATCATCTCGCGGGCCGAATTAAACCCGTTTGCGGGCCTGATCCGGCCTGCGGGCCGGACGTTTGACACCCCTGATCTAATCACAGCACTGGCAGACTATGGTTGACCAACTCCCTGACCAAAATGGCTGACCTTTTATCCCATCATAAGAAAGTCCATTCTAGTATTCTAATTCCCAATACTATTGTGATATCACTGAGCTGGATGTTGAATTATTGTTAAAAATGGCATAAACAAATATCGCAATGTAAAAAAATTAAATAGATTAATTGTTTTGGGGAGGTTTCCCAAGACAACAAAAACATCCTAAACTGAATTGATTTCAAAAGCTGTGTATACCTCTACCCAGAGACCTGTCTCTGCCTCTACCTATCTGTCACTTATTTATAAATTAGAACCTTTAAAAGTCATGCTTTGAGTGTGACAGCACAATGTGACCTCCCATTCTCATAATACAAGTGAATGATCAGAAGGATAGTATAATACTTTCTTTACTTCTTCCCCTGACAGGGTGCTTGCTAGTCACACAACTTCTGCATTGCTTGTTAGCAGGACCATTGTGCACTTTAGAAGAGGAATGGAATCAAAAGGAGAAGGGAAGGACAAGTTCTTTATAGTGACACAGGGGAAGGCGAGAAAAGGCTTCTCCAGAGGATGTATCGGCCGTGTGGAGGCAGTGATGCATAATGGAGAGCTGATGGGACTGTTGTACGGAGGTGGCAGCAGTGGGAACCCTAAGAGCGGGGACATGGTGAAGAGGGAGGACACGTACCCCCTCACCCGCCACCAGGCCCAGCTGCTGCTCTTCGTGTCTCCCTCCAGCAAACGCCTGGAGCTCCTGTGTAACCCTCAGCTCTTTTCGGCCATCTGTGTGCTGTCTCAGGATGACCTGGTGGTGGTTAAGCACAAGAAAGGTCACCAGCCAGGCCTGGTTCGGAACCTGATGCTGATCGGTAAGAAGGAGAACCAAGGGGACCTGCTGATGCTGGGCTTTGAGGTTGAGTTTGTGGTGAGTATGCAACTTCTACAAGTCTGGTATGCAAGCCCATATCAGCATAGGGAATGGCTTCCAGTATTTTGTCCAATGTATAAGCACATAATCAGGAATTTCTGTCTGTTTGAATGTCTGTTTGATCCTCTCATCGATAAGAGAAACATTTTAGCCTATTGATGCCACAGTATGGCAGACACTGTGAACTGTACCTGTCAAGTCACTTGAACCTCTCATTGATTTACATGAGTGACAGCAGGAGACAAGAATGTTCCTCTCAGGGGAAGATCCAAAATGTTATCTGATTAGTTACAGCACCTAACTTTTACATAACATCTGAAACTTGATAACATTGTCTGAGCAATTGGCAGTTGCTCGAAAGCAGTTTGTTGTATTTCCGGCTCGCCAGTAAAAATTCTCAGCACAGCTACTGTATGGGATTGAGTGTACTTGATTTACTGTAATTGTCCTGTTTCCTTTCCATTTCAGCAGGACTCTGATCAAACAGTGTCCTCTAAGAAGCCAGCCCCTCTCCCCCTATTCAGTGCAGCAGACATTGTCCAGGTTGTCCCAGCATACTCTGTAGGCATTGGCCCTCGCTGGAAAGACAGTCATTCAGAGGGTCAGTACTGTATGTTTACTTGCTAGTGATCAATGCCCATGCATTCTCATGGGATTAGGATGCAAGCACATAGACCTACATGTATTTGTTTACCAAATATGACACATTTACCTGGCTTTTCTAGTTTTCTAACCCATTAGCCTACATCAGGGATGGGCAACTGGCGGCCCCCCTTCTGTAGGCCCGTGGACCAGTATATAGCAAAATGTGTAGACTTGCAGGAAATTAGCTGTAAAACTGCACATTTTTCTCTCCGCCCCATGGCAAAATGAGTAGAATCGCATGAAATGAGTTAGAAAATTGCAGAATCTTCTCTCTGTACCATGGCAAATTGTGTAGAATTGCAGGAAATTAACTTTAAATCTTAAAATGTTTCCCTTTGCTGTCACGAGGGGAGCCGCTTATCAGTTAGAAATGGTAAATGTTATTGAATGGCAATGAGCTGCACCTGTGGCTAGACAGTGCGGTGTACAGAACTGGTCAAACTGGTCGAGGTGCTCTGGAATGTAGCAGCAGAGATCCATCACATGCTCTGGAATTTGTGTATATTTGTGGAGATAGACATGACATGGGATTTGTGACAAGGAGAGAAACCATGTGATGTGTGATTTTTTTACCCCACCTCTTCAACTTCTTCTCCCCCAGATCTAAACAGAAAGGTGGTGTCACGTATCAACTCCATGCCTAATATGGGATCTCGTGGACGACAAGTGAGAGATATAAACCATTTAGACCAGAGTGTCACCCAAACATCAACCCAAAGCCCGTCACACCACCCTTTTGAGGTGGGATCCATGGTGCAGGTAACATCCAACACTGGGATCACTGTATATGGGGTGATCCGTTGGATGGGCGTCCTTTCAGAAAATAAAAACGACTGGGCCGGAATTGAGCTGGTGAGTGTAAGATGTGAACTGTGTAAGCAATGTTATTGAGCTTGCCTATTCTTCTCCTCAGATTAGATTCCTCAGCAACTCCTTTATGCTTTTGCCATCAGGATTACGAGGTGAATAATTGCTCAGACGGGATGTATGGAGGTCAGCGGTATTTCACTTGTAAAGTGGGCAGGGCCTTGTTTGTGCCCCTCACAAAGTGCAGTCCAGATGGAAGGTTCCTATGTCCCCCCTCTGAAAAGGAGACCCTCAAAGCCACAGATATCCCCCCAGGTTAGACACCACTTACATAGGTCCTACTCCTACCTAACGCTGACACACACATAAACAGTGTAGATAATCTCAGGTTATGGCATTGTAATAATAGCCTTGTATGCATTAGTTTGCAGCCCACACCTCAAACCAAACACACAATGAATCAAACACCAACCAACAGCAGATATAAAATATTTACCAGTTGTATTTCTATTATCTAAGTGGTACATAATAATGTTTTTGTATGGTTTGTATCAGTCATTCCATTGGAGGAAACAGACGAGAACGTCCCTCCTATACCTGAGTCGGAAGCCCTGTTTTTGCTCGTGGGCAAGATGAAGGGGATCCAGGGGCACTATAACTCCTGCTACCTCGACGCCACTCTCTTCAGGTAAACTTAACTCAATCCCCTCTGGTCAAATGGTTTTTCCTGTAGGTCACTGTTCCTAACTCTCATAATTGTATTACAATTTAACACTATTTATTGGGCATCCTTTTCATTGAGCCCAGTTTATTGTAGTAAAGAAGGACTTAATGTTGCACCATGACCACTGTTAAGTTAATAAAGCTACTACTTCTCTCCACAGTCTGTTCAGCTCATCTATGACCCTGGACAGTGTTTGCCACAAACCAGCTGACACAGAAAGTAGCATATCTCGCTCTCTGAAGAAAGACATTGTCAACCGTTTGCGCAGGTAGAAACATTGTCTGTACTTGCAGTTTTCTAGATCCTCTTGACCCTCAGGCAGGCCTGTATTATCAGCTGGTCTTCAAAATAAGGGCGTTATGACATTGTAATTCAACCTAGACTGAAAAACAAAGCATTCATCTGGTTGTAACGCATGTCTGATATTACTCTGGCGGATTGGTAGTGTATTTTCAGGTATATGCACTTCATATGAATGTGCATCTCTGTGTGTTTGTATAATGTGAAAGTGTGTTGTGTGTATCTTTGTGTGTGGCCACCAAGAGTGACACCAGTGTGTGTGTTATCCACAGACAAGGTTTTGTGCCTGCTGAGAGCGTAATGAACTTCCGCAAGCAGCTCGGCTGTGACACCTTTGTAACAGAAGAGAAAGGTACGCTCACACATTTCTCATAGTGCTGTTTCTATGGGTCTCTTTACTGTCATGTTTAAACAGAAATGTAATACCAGCCCAGGGAAATGATGTCTAAATGGTGTAATCCTGCCTCCCTGTAGACCCTGAAGAGTTCATCACAATCCTTTTACAGCAGGTGCTTTGCATGAAGTCATTGATTAAACTCAGGTTTGAACCAGTTCACCTTTCACCTTTCTCTGCTGCTCTAGTTGACCTCCTGACCCATATCTTTTCTCTTTCTAGCATGTTATTCTGTAGGCTACTTATTGCTCGTTGCTTCTCCTCCTCACACTTCTTATCTCCATTCTCATTGTCTGGGCTTCTGAGTTTCTGTTAGATCTTATTTGACACTCTGCCATGACTGAGTTGCTTAACTTGATTGTTCTCTGGGCCTCAGGTCGAATAACAACACATCTCAGGAGGCCTACACATTCCAGATTATTCTGGATAAGGAGCAGGTGACACAGACTCCCACTGTTCAGCAGCTACTGGATATCTCCTTGCTGTCTTGTGGCCTCAAGTTTGAGGAGGTGGGTGATACTGTGCAAGGTTATCTAAGGAGCAATGTTTACAAGGCCTTGTAGGCAGCACAAGTTTTGTTTAGAAGGCGATCACTTTGCTTTAATATTTAGGCCCTGTGCAGTCAAAAACGAGATTTTCCTGTGTTTTATACATAATTCCACACTGAGGTTGGAATAATATTGTAGAATTGTAAAAATGATGATAATGCCCTTTTAGTGTAAGAGCTGTTTGAAAAGACTGCCTGTTATTTCCGCCTGTTTTGATGGGATGGAGTTTTGGCTTGCCTGGTGTCATCACCAGGCGGTAAATTGATTAATAGACCAATAAGAAATAGAGTTCCAAACCTCTCTGCCAATAACAGCTAGTTTTCAGTTTTACCCTCCCCACTCAAACCACTCCCAGATAGTCCTAGCAGAATTCTTGCTTGAGAAATTGCTCTTTGCTAAGAAGCTATTTTTGTTTCTTTTTTTACAATTTTAATTGAAAACAATCACAGTAACGTACAGTACTTAATTATTAACCAGAAATGATTTGATATTCAGATAAAAACGGCTCCATATGTCCCTCAGATCCCATCCTGCCTCATGGTCCACATGCCAAGGTTTGGGAAGAAGTACAAGATGTTCCCCCACATCATCCCCTCAACAGAATTTGACATCACAGATCTTCTATACAACTGTGAGTTACAGCATCAGTCAATGTTTATAAAGACTCACAGGGGTTTTTGCAAAACGCTTAATCACACATCTGCCACGTATACCTATGAATAAAAGTAAGGCCATGCAGTAACTCCCTGCGCATAGCTTACCATTGTAAACTGTCTTCAGGTTGAGTGACACCTTCCCACTTTCTTCTCCCATCAGCCCCCCGAGAATGCTTCCTCTGTGGGCGTTTGGCAGAGTATGAGTGCCCCCAGTGCCTACAGGACCGTAAGCTCCAGCCAGGAAGGAATCAAACAGTACTGCACTACCTGCAAGACACAGGTATACAGTGGGGTCAGAAAGTCCTGACACCCTTGATATAGATGAGCAAAAATGACTGTATAAAATAAATAAATACTGAGCTATATTGTCTTCTTTTTTTTAAAGGGGAAATTATATTATTTTATACTAATACAATTGCTCAGAGAAATGTTGTTAAAAATTATTGACACCCCTGTTTTCAATACCTTGCGAGGATAATGGCACTGAGCCTTTTTCTAAAAGGTTTTATGAGTTGGAGAACACATTGGGAGGGATTTTAGACCATTCCTCCATACAGAATCCTTCCAGATCCTTGATATCCTTCATCTGCGCTTACTGACTGCCCTTAACAAGGGCCCCAGGACCAGTGGAAGCAAAATAGCCCCATAACATCAACGATCCACCACCATATTTTACAGTAGGTATGCGGTTCTTTTCTGCTCATGCATTCTCATTTCAATGCCGAACCCACCACTGGTGTGCGTGGCCAAAGAGCTCAATTTTCATGTCATCCAACAAATGAAATGCCAGGAGTTTCCTAAACCGCATTGGCACTTGGATTGGAACCGGTGCTTTGGTCAGATTACATGAAAATAGAGCTCTTTGGCCAGGCACGCCAGTGGTGGGTTTCGCATCGAAATGAGAATGCATAAGCAGAAAATAACCCCATACCTACTGTAAAATACGGTGGTGGATATTTGTTGTTATGGGGCTATTTGGCTTCCACTGGTCCTGGCCCACTGAGCAAAGACGTCAATTCAACGTCTAGTCCACGTTGGTTCAATGTAATTTCATTGAAATGACATGGAAACAACTTTGATTCAACTAGTGTGTGCCAATTTTCTTTAGCATACAATATAGCTCAGTATTTGAATTAGTTTATTTTAAACAGTCATTTTTGCTCATCTTTATCAAGGGTGTCAATCATTTCAGACCCAACTCTATACAGTTAAGCAGCATGACTCTTTGAGCTACAGCTTTTCTACCTGCAAGTCTATTGATTTCGTCTCCTTTATCTAACTGAATCTCCCTATCTACTTTCCCTCTTTCCCATCCTCCCTTCCCTCTCTATCTCCACTTCTCCCTTTGTGACAGGTGCACACTCATCCCTCTCGGCACGGCCACTGCCCTAGAGCCCTGGCAGTGCCAGCGGAGGTGGCGGCAGATGCCCCTGTACCCAGGCACAAAATGCAGTTGTTCGCTGTGCTCTGCATCCACACTAGCCACTATGTGTCCTTTGTGAAGTATGGCCCTGGCCCTCGCTCATGGCTCTTCTTCGACAGCATGGCAGACAGATGTGGTGAGATTAACCTCAAAGAACAAAATTACAATACATTACCAAAAGTATGTGGACACCTGCTCGTCGAACATCTCATTCCAAAATCATTGGCATTAATATGGAGTTGGTCCCCCCCTTTGCTGCTATAACAGGCTCCACTCTTCTGGGAAGGCTTTACACTAGTAACTTGTTGGAAAGGTGGCATCCTATGACGGTGCCACGTTGAAAGTCCCTGAGCTCTTCAGTACGGGCCATTCTACTGAAAATATTGATCTATGGAGATTGCATGGCTGTGCTCGATTTTATACACACAGGTGTTGCTGAAATAGTCGAATCCACTCATTTGAATGGGTGTCCATATACTTTTGGCCATGTAGTGTATATTTTTTGAAGAATCCTGTCAGTTGCCATCAAAAGTCTGTGAAGCACTGTATATTTCAAAACCTATTGAGTGGATGTCGCGTTGGTAAAACATTATTCTAAAAGGAAGAACAGACCGCTTAATCCATTTGTTCTGAGGTGCTGAACAAATAATAATTTCTGTTGAATTGCAGACTGTTCCTTGCCTTGTAAAGTTATTTATTTGTATTTCTTGTTCACTAGATACCCAATTACTTACTTTGTCTTAGAACCTGATGTAGAGAACACTGCAACCTGACGTAAATGTCTAGTCTTATCAGTCTTTCACTTGTCAGATCTCTAATCTTCAGTCCCCTCAGGTGATGACCAGAGTGGCTACAACATTCCAGAGATCAGAGCTTGTCCAGAGGTGGGTGACTTCCTGTCTCAGTCAGAGGAGGAGCTAGCACGGGCTGACCCCTCCCAGGCTGGAGAGCTTGTCCGCAGGCTGCTGAGTGACTCCTACATGTGTTTATATCAGAGTGCCTCCATGGCACTCTACAGATAAAGACAGCACAAGGCTGAAGTGTACTGGGGAGAACACAGCGTTCTCACAACAATGCTACAATAACCTTGGTTTCAGCGTCGCCATGGCGTCAATTCATTTTCACAGAAATAAAACTGATGATTAGCTGAAGAACCTAAACTTGAAAGGTATGCTTTTATGATGACAAGTTCTTCTCAAATGTTTTCCTTTGCCAATGTAGACCTACTTGACCTTTGTTTCAATAAAGATTGATTGATGAGGTTGTGGTTAGGAAGGGCAATTGAACTATATGTTTTTTTTCCCTCAATGCCTACACCAACCATTTTCCACTCACTGCTTGTCTTTTGGCAATGTTTTATTGTTGCACATTTGTATCATATACTCTAGATTTATGGAATTGAAGTGGATTGATGATTATGACTTATTGTGGAATTCTATGGAATGTCAGTGTTTTTCTGCTTTTTTATATTGAAGGAATTAAAGAATGAATGATATACTATGGTACCTTTTTATGTTCTATTGACTGAACATGTTGAAATGACAAGGGTGAGTTATCCATGCCTAGTTAAAATTGTTGTAACAGTCTGCTCAAAATGATCCGAATGTGCATTTAAACTATTACATTTTTTAATGGGATAATTAATTCTGTGTTTTCTGATTTCTTCCCAATTGTGCTTCAGTTCAGATTGAATTATGCACAGGTATACACCCCAGTTCTTAAATAACTGATGATAAATGTGTTTCGGGTATGGAAAGGAGATGGAGAGATGCATGCTGTAGGGGTCTCCAACAGGTCGATCGCGAGCTCGCAGCCCACCTATGAGTAGTAGGCGTGTGTGGGTAAAATCACTGGGGAAGTCAAGCCAGGAAAAAAAGCAATATTACAGCATGTGTTGTGATAATTGCGTTGTTTGCTCTATAACCTGTTAGATCATATGCCTCGACACCGTGATATATAGGCCTAAGGCCGAGACAATAAGAAGACATAGTGGCAGAATAAATTCAACCACACCTTTGTTTCATCACAAAACCGGAGAGCAACATCTATCTTATGGAGTCCACAAAGCATATTGCATGTAACAAACAGTTACCTACAGCATGGTCAATCAAGTTAATGTTTCCAACATTTTCGGACTACTAAACAACTATTGATTTAGAACACCGGAGAGTTACTGCAAATCGAAAAGAAAACAGGAACTGGCTCCACTATTCCAGAACCATTTCAACATCATCAAATCACCTATTCTTAGTCTAATACAGAGACAAAGATTCCAAAAACGATTTAGTCCAATCAATGTAAGCTACATATCATGTGGTTGTCCATGGTACTGATTTCTGTGTGTTTGTGTTTGTGTGTGCGCGTAAGTAGAAAAAACATGTTGACACCCTAATTGCAGAGAAACGCCAATGCCATCCTCCTCTCTTTCATGTTGCCGGAACAGTCTATGACTCTGTCATACAGCACATGCTTTTGGTTTTTGTTGTCTTAGGCTACCTGGCTAAAATGCTTGCTCGCTAGCCAAACTTCCTTTCATGGACAACGATTTTGTTTTATTTTTAATTGTTACATTTTTAATCTTCAAGATAGAAATGCTACCAAAAAGAATGTACTGAAACTTGTTACAGATGACGGAGTCACCCATGATTCACCAAACGATATTTTGAAAGAGGAAGCAAAGTACTTCAAGCATATGTTTTCGTTTCAGTCTCCTCCATCTCCACTAACCGAAGATAATTGTAAGGATTTTTTTCCTATTAATAATGTAAAATTAACAGCTGTACAGAAAGACTCATGTGAAGGACAAATTACAGAGGAGGAACTTCTTGATGCAATTAAAGCCTTTTAAGTCTGGGAAAACTCCAGGGCCTGGATGGCATACCAGTTTAGGTTTACCAAACCTTTTTTGGTGTACTCAGAGGACCTTTATTAGCATGTTTTAACCACTCCTATAAAAATGGTAGATACTCAACAAGAAGGTCTGATTTCATTATTACGGAAACAGGACCCAAGTGGTAAATATAAAAATCCAGTCCATTAAAAAAATTGGAGGCCCCTTACACTTCAGTGTTGTGATGCAAAAATTATAGAAAAGTGTATAGCATATAGAATTAAAAAGGTATTGTCGGATATTATTCATCCTAATCAGACAGGTACTGGAAACAATAGTACACTACAGTGGGGAGAACAAGTATTTGATACACTGCCGATTTTGCAGGTTTTCCTACTTACAAAGCATGTAGAGGTCTGTAATTTTTATCATAGGTACACTTCAACTGTGAGAGACGGAATCTAAAACAAAAATCCAGAAAATCACATTGTATGATTTTTAAGCAATACATTTGCATTTTATTGCATGACATAAGTATTTGATACATCAGAAAAGCAGAACTTAATATTTGGTACAGAAACCTTTGTTTGCAATTACAGAGATCATACGTTTCCTGTAGGTCTTGACCAGGTTTGCACACACTGCAGCAGGGATTTTGGCCCACTCCTCCATACAGACCTTCTCCAGATCCTTCAGGTTTTGGGGCTGTCGCTGGGCAATACGGACTTTCAGCTCCCTCCAAAGATTTTCTATTGGGTTCAGGTCTGGAGACTGGCTAGGCCACTCCAGGACCTTGAGATGCTTCTTACGGAGCCACTCCTTAGTTGCCCTGGCTGTGTGTTTCGGGTCGTTGTCATGCTGGAAGACCCAGCCACGACCCATCTTCAATGCTCTCACTGAGGGAAGGAGGTTGTTGGCCAAGATCTCGCGATACATGGCCCCATCCATCCTCCCCTCAATACGGTGCAGTCGTCCTGTCCCCTTTGCAGAAAAGCATCCCCAAAGAATGTTTCCACCTCCATGCTTCACGGTTGGGATGGTGTTCTTGGGGTTGTACTCATCCTTCTTCTTCCTCCAAACACGGCGAGTGGAGTTTAGTCCAAAAAGCTATATTTTTGTCTCATCAGACCTTCTCCCATTCCTCCTCTGGATCATCCAGATGGTCATTGGCAAACTTCAGACGGGCCTGGACACATGCTGGCTTGAGCAGGGGGACCTTGCATGCGCTGCAGGATTTTAATCCATGACGGCGTAGTGTGTTACTAATGGTTTTCTTTGAGACTGTGGTCCCAGCTCTCTTCAGGTCATTGACCAGGTCCTTCCGTGTAGTTCTGGGCTGATCCCTCACCTTCCTCATGATCATTGATGCCCCACGAGGTGAGATCTTGCATGGAGCCCCAGACCGAGGGTGATTGACCGTCATCTTGAACTTCTTCCATTTTCTAATAATTGCGCCAACAGTTGTTGCCTTCTCACCAAGCTGCTTGCCTATTGTCCTGTAGACCATCCCAGCCTTGTGCAGGTCTACAATGTTATCCCTGATGTCCTTACACAGCTCTCTGGTCTTGGCCATTGTGGAGAGGTTGGAGTCTGTTTGATTGAGTGTGTGGACAGGTGTCTTTTATACAGGTAACGAGTTCAAACAGGTGCAGTTAATACAGGTAATGAGTGGAGAACAGGAGGGCTTCTTAAAGAAAAACTAACAGGTCTGTGAGAGCCGGAATTCTTACTGGTTGGTAGGTGATCAAATACTTATGTCATGCAATAAAATGCAAATTAATTACTTAAAAATCATGTGTGATTTTCAAAATGTGATTTTCTAGATTTTTGTTTTAGATTCCGTCTCTCACAGTTGAAGTGTACCTATGATAAAAAATTACAGACCTCTACATGCTTTGTAAGTAGGAAAACCTGCAAAATCGGCAGTGTATCAAATACTTGTTCTCCCCACTGTATGAACAATCTGGGAAACCAGGCCTGGTTTTCATAGCTGAATTTGAAAAGGCTTTTAATAAAGTACGACTGGAATTTATATATAAATGCCTGGAATATTACAATTTTGGAGAATCTCTTATACAATGGGTTAAAGTTATGTATAGTTACCCTACGTGTAAAATAGTAAATAATGGCTACTTCTCAGAAAGTATTAAACTGTCAAGAGGAGTGAAACAAGGTTGTCCGCTATCGGCATATCTATTTATTATGGGCCATCGAAATGTTAGCTATTAGAATCAGATCCAACAATAATATCAAGGGCCTAGAAATCCAGGGCTTAAAAACAAAGGTGTTATTGTACACTGATGATTCATGTTTTCTTTTAATCCACAATTTGGATCCCTCCACAGCCTCATAGATGATCTAGATACTTTTCCTAACCTCTCTGGACTATAACCAAATTATGATAAGTGTACTATATTATGTATTGGCTCACTAAAAAATATAACCTTTATATTACCGTGTAGTTTCTCAATAAAATGGTCTGACGGTGAAGTGGACATACTCTGTATTCATATCCCAAAATAAATAAATGACCTCACTACAATACATTTTAATAGAAAGTTGGCAAAAATAGATAAGATCTTGCTACCGTGGAAAGGAAAATACCTGTCTATTTGTGGAAAAATCACCCTGATTAACTCTTTAGTCATATCACAGTTGACCGATTTGCTTATGGCCTAGCCTACACCTAGCGACTTGTTTTTTAAATTATATGAGCAAAAAATATTCTATTTTATTTGGAATGGCAAGCCAGATCAAATTAAACTGGCCTATTTATATAATGAATATGAAATTATTAAATATTAAAGCATTAGACCTCTCACTAAAGGCTTCAGTTATACAAAAGTTATACTTAAATCCGAACTGGTTCTCTAGCAGATTAGTAAGAATGTCTTACCCCATGTTAAAGAATGGCATTTTTCCCTTTATTCAGATTACAACCTCTCACTTTCGGTTATTTGAAAATGAAATAATCTCCAAAATATTGCTATTTAAAAACAAAAAGCCATAGAAAGTTGGTTGCAATTTCAGTTTAATCCACCAGAAACGACAGAACAAATATTACAACAAATATTATGGTTAAACTAAAATATACTAATTGGGGAGATTTTATTTTTTTAAAGGTATCATCTTTGTAAATTAAATCATAAATAGGACTGGTGGAGTTATGCCACATATGCAGCTAACAAA